TCTCTCCAGTGGACTTGCTCTTTGCAATACATAACATATCCCTGCACAAATCCACACCGTGTAAAAAATGAAACATGAAGTCTGCAAAAATTATTTTGACATGATAACAATGTTTCTGGTCTCTTGTGCCGGTTTGCAAATTAGTTTGAATTTTACCCAGTCTGTTAGAACCACATTTTAGGCACATAAAGCAAGCTAACAAATACTAACAAGATGCATAAATTCAAGTTCAGATTTTTTTCAACTATATATCCCAAAGCTGTTGAATTATTCAATTTGCACACAAACCTGTTGAAATTTTAACTTAATTGACATCTCAATTAAACACTTGAAAGCTTCATTATGAAATATATTGAGGAAATAAATAACAAGTGCAACAAGATACAGTAAAGATCCAAAGAGCATATGAAAACAAATTATCTTATAATTTTTATTCCCTGTATACATCTTGATCACTTTCTGCTTATACCAAACTTTGTGGTGATTTGCAAGCTGCAACTCATTGGACAATTGCTTTCACATATTATGGATCGTTTTTTTGAAAGAAGATTAACCCTCTGCTCGCCCTGTTCACTTTAATGGCTAAGCTTGTACAATTCAATGGGGGAGTTAGTAGGATTTCGAGGTGGGATGATGAAAAGAGGAGAACAGTACAAGGGGGAGAAATTGGTACCATCACGCTTGTGATTGCCAGGCAGCATAGGTGGTAACTACTGTAGATAACAGCAATGGGCTCTTTCCATTGCCTGAATTTCTGATGTACAAAAAGTTCTTGCAACCAATTAACAAAAATTTGCTGTTACAAGGAGGAGAGGGTAGAAACCCGTTTACTACATGTGTTTCACATCCCCTTGAGTCAGGTAGAGGATCGCATCAGCCTCCATTTGAATTGAGTTGAAGTACTGCATAGCTAATTACAATTGAGGTGTGCTATGCAATGATGTGGAAATTCTTTCTCACACTATACAAGGTATATACCCGAAGTAGGATAGCTATACTGAAAGCAGCTAAAACCAGAGCTACTTCAACTATTATGTAAGTGCTCTTTTAGCCTTCAACCTATATCCCACTTGAAAATGCTGTTTAGGAGGCATAGAGATATCATAACCTTGGTCACTAGTTTGGTAGCAAAACATAGTACAGAAAAAACAGAGCAGCAGTGTTTCATTCCTATACCATAGATTTACTCCCATGGCTATCAACCATTTCTTCTGCAAATCATCCTTCACGCAGAATAATGGACAGAGAATGAAATATATGTCTGCACTAGGTGCAGGGAAAAAAACATGGCAAAGTAGCAGTTTGTACCTTTCAACCATTTATATACTTTACCATAATAATACAATAGTAATCTGCTTCAATTATTCAGAATGGTTACTTACTATGTTCCCCCAAATCCTTCATCTGAGGATATCTGGCTGGGTTTGTGGCATCATGCCACTGCTCAGTTGCCTAAGGTAAATCTGGCGACACCCATCCCACTGGAAACCTGTGAGGTCAATAATGTATCCAGAGAAGTGGATAACTGCTTCAATTGTAGAGTGCCAGACATGAAAATAAATATATTTTCTATAGCTATTCCTTCTTTTAAGCTACATCTAATTTTCAATAATAAATTATTGGAAAACACTGTTGGCTGAATATCCAAAATAACTACTGTATGTCTTTACTTATGAACAGTTACCATGTTTTAACGTAAAGAATCCGTTTGTAGCTGAGAAATTGTAGGTAAGCCAACTATTGATTGGTAGGTCATTCAACATCTAGACTGCATAATATTGATTATAATTGACATCTTACTAAACATTAGCATTCTGCTTAACAAATGTATATTGCTGGTTATTAAAACAACTTTCTTTTGCAGCGCTCTGGAGGAGCATTGGCCATACCATTATGTGCTTTCCAAGGGACAGTGTCACTTCATGCACCTACTGGTAAAACCCTCTCTTTGTCTACTTACGAAGTAAGCAGTGAAGGTCAAAAGATTACTCCTACTTCAAAGAAGATAGAAGTGTATCGGTCAAAAAGTGTGGGCCATGAGCCAAGCAAGGAAGACTCTCCCACTCAGTTTCCAGACACAAATGTGAAGATCCATCTAGAGGTTCTTGAGATATGTGACAATGAAGAAGCCATGGACACTGTCTCAATTATCAGCAATATAAGCCAATCCTCAACTCAAGCTCGTTCTCCTTCCCTGCGCTACTCCCGCAAGGAGAACCGCTTTGTGTCTTGCGACCTGGGAGAATCTGCCTCCTACTCCCTCTTCATTCCAACTAATAATCCAGACAGTGATATAAACATCTCTATTCCAGACACAGTGGAGGCTCACCGACAAAACAGTAAGCGGCAACATGTGGAGAGAGAAAGCTATCAAGAGGAAATACAGCTGTTAAACAAAGTCTACAGGAAAAAAGAAGCTTGTGAGGACAGTTGAAACATACCACATATATAATAATAATGTTTCAATAGGTATAACTACACCAACTACAACTTTATCTTTGTCAATACAAGTAAAGACACAACATAATGTTTATTTTCTTTGTACAAGCTTTGCACTTAATTTTGTTGCAGTAGTAGAGCCTTCCAATGTCAGTTTTCTTCATATGTGTTCTCTACTCTACCAGATAGAGTATACCAATATCAATACTGTGACACCGTAAATTAGAGGAACAACTCATCATTGGACAGTAGGATACATGACAACTGCCTCTGCTGCATGTGAGCCACAGTTGTTGTACAGTTTAAAAAAATTAAAGTTTAGGCAACTGCAAAACACAGTTTATATTAATTGTACAAATGAAACAAACATTCAATAAATATTATATAAGGACTTAGTATTAGAGCCATTTGTGTTAATCCTCAAATGATTGCAGTACATTCCCTATTGAGAATAAGAAATTCTTTAAAAGCCCACTATTAATGTCTTACAAAAGTTAAAAGTTAAATATTTTAAATATGGGAATCTGTGTCATAATTCAGAAAATACCTTATTCTTCTATATTTTTAAATGCTTTATATGCTTAGGTTCTTACAGTCTTCATGGGTTCAGTAATCATGTAGGCTATATCTAATCTGAACTTGTCCCCCCCCCCCCCCCCCCCACCACCACCACCACACACCACCTCTTTCCTTCCCTGCTTCTGACTCTCCAACTCCCTTGGAGTATTTTTTGTTGAAATCATCAAAAGACATTTAGGAAAAATTAAGGGAGTGGTGCCAAAATAATGACACTGATCTTCCCAGTGAAGGCTGTACAGGAGGAGGGGGTGTCAGGACAAATTTGATCACTAGAGGAGAACACTCTGACTACACAGCACAGCTAGAGAACTGACCATGGGTGTTCTCCTGCCTAGCATGGTCAGTTTTTCAAAGGAAAGCAGAGGGAATGGCAGGAACACCAGGGATTTCACACAAAGGAAGTAATACAAAGAGAACAGGATACTTTTTCATACAAGTACTGGTACAGCAGGCACAAACCTGGATTACAAAATGTGGGGTGTACATAATCTTTAAGTGGATCCTGAAACAGTGGACAGAGATCTGATCAACCATTTTCTGTAGGTTAAAGGCTGATGGAGAATATACATTGAATGCTACTTTATTGTTTTTACACTATAGGAATTTAAAGCCGTATTAAGCCCCAAAACAAAAATTCATTAAAATACGCCTTACCAATTGATGGCTAAATTACTTTATTTTCACCTGGCAATCCAGCTAGTAGTCTGTTATTGTTCAACTTCCTTTACCAGACCAAGCTGTCCAGACAAAGTAGCAGTTAGAGGGCTGAGAAAAACTACTGAACTCTTACAAGGGTGTTTACATTGATCATCCTTTACCCAAAAGGAAAAAAAAACTATTTGCTGTAACTGCTTATGCAGTGTTAGCTGGAGTTCAGCATCAATTGGTTAGTCAAATCTGCTAGTTAATACTACCATCTTGCCAGACTGACACGGCTGCTGTCCATAGGTGTCTGCTTTATTACTTTATTCAGAATGCAGTCACGCAAAGACAAGGGTGAGAATTATATATATAGATGTTGTTTCTGCAATGACAGAGTGAGAGGAATAATTTTAGGGTTGTCATTTATGAGCCACTCTAAATTGATGGACTACAGTATAAAGGCTTTAATGTATCACTAATGCATAATTTTGGCTATCATAGATTTTCGCCATTATTCTGGAGAATGCAATTTTAAGACTTGACATATTTGGTACTAATTTACTTCACACAGTATTATCTTTACAAAACAATTGGAGATATTTGGGGGGATTTACTAAAACTGGAAGGTGAAAAATCTGGTGCAGCTTTGCATAGAAACCAATCAACTTCCAGGTATTATTGTCAAAGCTTAACTGAACACGCTGATGTTAGAAGCTGATTGGCTGCCATGCACAGTTGTACCAGATTCTGAGTGCTCCAGTTTTAGAAAATATCTCCCTATGTTGTCTTTGTGCTTAGAAAAACTAATATTGCACCTACCATCTTTTTACTTTCCTTTGCTTTAAAAAACATATATATCATTTTGGGGTTTTAGGCACTTTTTAAACAAAAACATGCATTTTAAGATGTGTATGAGTAATGAAACATTGAAAGGGTCAAAGAACATCAATTACATTATCTAAAACAAAACCTTACCTGCAAAGAGAAGTTCCACTTACCCTCCTCTTTCCCCTCTGCACTTTTCAGGAAGTGGGTACCTAGTTTTGGCAGGAACCTGCTGCCACGTTCAGTTGGCTTGCCAAGGTGGGCAGAGCAAAAGTTTGGCTCCCCCCTGACCACAAGCTCCTCTGATATGTCACAGGTCCAATGAGGCCTCAGTAACATTCACAAAGTGCAGTTTGACTCTCACATGTGCAGTCAGAAGCCAGCTGTGAGTCAACAGGAAGTCATAGCCAACTTTCCATAGTCCACATGGTGGTGATGAGGACCTGAAGACTGGAGATGAACCTGTTCGAGTGAAGACAGCACTTGATCCCTGGGCTGGTAAATGTAATTTTATTTAACCTCCCTGGAGGTATTCCCGAGTGTAGCTCGGGGTAAAGTTTCAGCACCACAAGCGGTAACCCCGAGCTACACTCGGGAAATACTTTGCAGTGCTGCTCCAGGATCTCTTCTTCACTTACCTTGTCCTGCTCTCCCGCGATGTCCATCCTGCAGCGTCCCCGGCCATGTCCTCCGGCCAATGCCGGCATCTGTCTTCTGGGTTCCGTTCCCTGCGACGTCAGGACGTACGGGGACGGAACGGCGGAAAATTAAAAAATGCGAAAAAGTGACATTCACTAAATACACTAAAATGACATAGTAAAACATTACTGTATCAAACCATTTCACATACATTTTGTCCCTAGTGCTTTGCCCTGCGCCCTGCCTGCATTTTTACTGTTCTTTCTGCCTGGAAACTGAGAAATGTCCATGGCATCCAAAAAGTGTGCCTTTAGGTCAAAAGCAGTTTTAGACCAGCTAGAGAACAGTGATAGTAAATGAGAACCACTTTCAGAATTGAGTGATAATGATTCGTGGGGAAATTCGTCATCAGACACTGAAAAAGATTTTGCGACTAAGCTCAGTGATGTGCGAACTTGGCGCTATATTTAAAATGTCAGTGTTTTTTGTTTGATTATATTATTGAATTAAATGTATTATTATTATATTATTATTTTTTATCATTATTTATTAAATTATAATTTATTATTTCGTTTTTCAAATTTTAACATACCCGGGATGTTTACTAGACTCTTGTTCAGACAGATTTCAGTGAGTTATTCCAAAAAAATTACAGGCCTACAATAAAAAAAATACACATTTCCATGCAAAAAAATGTACCGCTTTGAGCACAGAAATACTGACATAATCAGGCCGCTAGGGAGGCTACAAAAAAAATAAAAGTCAGCAGCTACAATCACTGTAGCTTCTGACTTTCAACAAGACCAGAGCTCCTCTTTAAGCTGCAACTCACAGTAAGCCCTTTGTGTTTACATTGTGGAGAAGAATGAGACCGGGTGCACCAGGGTGTTTTATTTAGGCTTGAATTCCCTTTTAAAACACCAGTATTTTGGATTTTCATATTAAACATCATTGCATGGCTCATGCTCTACTTCAATTTACGTGATAGATACAGTTAGATAAACATAGCATAATAGGGGCACCCTTAAAAATATGAGCAAAGAAAATGTATAACATGTACACAGTGGTGTATTTAGGTTTTGTGCTGTCCTAGGCAACACAAACCCCCCCACAGGGAGAGACTGACATTGACCAACAACACCCCAGATCCCCACCCAAGAGAGCCTTCCACTACCACTGCCCCCCATACACCAGCCACCATCCCCCCATGGCGAGAGAGAGAAAGACACTAACCTTCCTTCACAGCTCTGGACATGCCCAGGAATGAGGGTCGGGTTGTATATACACCATTATGAAACCCACCAGGTCATCATGCCATGTGTGTCCCTTCTTCCATCCCTTCTTCCAAGGGGTAGTGCTGCCCCCCTGAAAAATGCCTCCCTAGGCAAATGCCTTGTTTGCCTTGTGGTAAATACACCCCTGCATGTACAGTCTGGAGGAAAGAACGAAAAGGGGAGACATGATTGAAACCTTTAAATACATCAAGGGGGTGTATAAGGTTCAGGAGGGCAGTATTTATAACAGGAAACCGTAATCAAGAACACGGGGACATGATCCTAAACTAACTGGAGGAAAGTTCAAAACAAATTTCAGAAAGTATTATTTTATTGAAAGAGTAGTTGATGCTTGGAATAAACGTCCAGCAGAGGTAGTGTGCCAGTCAAGAGTAAATAGCTTCAAACATGCTTAGGAAAAGGATAGATCTATGCTAAAAAAAAAAAAAAGTTAACGAGATAAAAAAAAAAAATGGGCGAACTCGATGGACAACTCAATGGTTTTTAGCTGACACTTTTCTATGTTTCTATGAATGCAGAAGTTGATATGTTATGTAGAGCAAACAGTGAAACACCTTGCCAAATTTATGACACCTGGTAGGTTGACAAGGGCAAGAGCTTTACTTTTGCTCCAGTTTTCAAAAATCAGCACCATTGTTTGCACTAAAAAAAGTTTGTGTGGTGTGTTTATTTCCTTTTATGTGAAGCTATGAAATGTAAAAAAATTATTTGGTATAGATACAAAATGATTCAAACATTTATACAAAGCACTCCATAATCCTACATTGTCATAATTGAAGTATGTTGCATGTTGTTGCATTGATCTGTCAATTTATTTCCCAGGATAAAAAAAATGTCTTTATTGTATGTGCATTTCATAAACGTGGTTATATTTGATGCCTGTTATGTCAACTGATGAGCAATGCTACAATGCAAATATTTTGTAAATCACAGATCTTATAGTGTGTCTAAAGCAAACATATTTTATTCAGGAATTTTGGTGGAGGATAGTTAGAACTTAGATAGTGAGATAGATAGTTACATAACTAGATAGATACGGTAATTAGACAGTTAGTGGAACATAGTTATATAGTTAGGGCATTATTGCTATCTATGTTCCTGCTGGGAAATTCACCTCTTCTATTTGTACTGATGACCATTGTCACTGGTTCACAAAGTAAAGCCTAGTACACACTATTAGTTTTATTTTTGTTAAACCCAGCAGGCTAAACAAAAGAAAAAAAAACTGAACAGCGAAAGAGGAGATCCTGTACTAACAATCCGATGTTGGTGCAGCAATCTCCCTGCTGCGATTGTGTGTTCTGACAGGGGGGTAGCCCCTGCCAAAACACACCATTCAGCGTTCTCAGCCATTGGCTGAGAGCGCTGATTGGATGTGGATCAGCAGACCTTTTTCGGTCATGCCCCTTCAACAGAAGCTGGATGTTCGGTGGGATGCTGTCGGAACTAGCTGCCGTACACATGGGCCAAATGTCCCGATACTGCCTGTTATTTGGCCTGTGTGTACGGGGATTAAAGGGATTCCCAAAATTATACAGTTGTCACTGAAGCAGGAATAGAGGGAATATCTTACCATAGAGACGTCTGTTCCAGTTACAACTGTCTTAGGGTCAATTTCCCTGACTTTGGAGAAATGTTTCTCTCAAGCTCTCTTCTGTTTTTTTCTAGGTCAGAAAGTGAAGGGAAATCTATCTGACTGGACACAGAAAAAATAAAAAAAAAACTGAAAGGGGTTTTAACCATTTCCCACTCTATACAAAACCTAAAGCGGTAATAAACCCATTTATTATTTTGCAGCTTACCAATTCTTAGATGTGCATTAGTTCTATTTTTTAGGCTTTCTTCTATTTTCATCTGGTGATCTGATCAGTAGATCTGTTGTTTTTCAACAGAACAAGCTTTCTTGCAGATGTGTCAATTACAGGGATGAGATAAACCATTCCACACTGGCAGGGGTGCTTACAATGATCTACTTTTATTTATTTGTGTAAACCCTTTATCCCAAAAGGAAAAAAAAAACAACTGTTTGCTGTAAATGCTTATAAAATGTTAGGTGGAGTTCAGTCTGCTAGTACACTCCTCACCCTCCAGGCCTCCATACAAAGATACCCCCTGTGCTCCTTCATCCAGAGTGGGGGGCACTCTAATACAGGAGGAGTTTTACTGGCCAGATCACCAGGTGAAAACAGAGGGGGAAAAAAGCCTAACCATTCCTAATGTAGCCATCACATCTAATGAGTAAGCAGTAAGCTGCAATATATTACATTTTTGATTTGCGGTTTAATACTGCTATACAAAAGTGTTGGCTTTAAATATACTTTAATGGTTTTGCTTTTTTCTAGCACTGTTACAGTTTTTGATTTCTCTGCCAGCTGCATGCATTTGTCTAGTGATATAATAAAAAAATTTAAAAAATACTATTTTATTGATTTTTTATTGAAGTTGGAGGTAAGTCCAACATCAATCTAATACCCATAGACAGATTTATCTTTGAAGCCTGCAATTTTCTCCACACTCTCCTCCCTCCTGTGTCTTGATATTGACCTCTCAATGTAATTGGTGGCTTCTCTGACCACTACTGAGAAACAGGAGGTAGAACACTACTGCAGACTACCTTGACAAAGTTAAAGTGTTACAAAACCCAGGACCCTGCATTCACTCTATCTGGTCTTCCACAGTACACAAACCATGGAAATGCAATTATCTTAGTAAATATAAACGGCTAAATACCCTTTCTCATCAGCAGTATATAGCAATCTTGTGACTTCTATCAGTGTCCGACCGAGCACTGGTTAATCTTCTAGAAGGAGTTTTCATTCTCCTCTGACTGTCCTATGAGGCTGCATGACCCCTGACTCTAACCAGACAGCGCTGATTGGCCCTGTGCTGATCACATGCACCCTCCCCCAAAAAAACTGTTTAGCAATACACACCAAACAGAGCAGACTTGCCACTGCTGCTCTGTACTATGGCAGATAGATTGGTGGCAGTAAAAGAAGGGGAGAATCAGAGAAGACAGGATAAAACAGCCTTTTTACACAATGCGGATGACTAACCCCTTAGGTTCCTCAGTGAGTATAAGAAACATGATTTACTGCATATACAGACTAATATTACTTTTGTAGGTTTAGTAACACTTTAATTTTTTCATAGAGTGCCCTATCTTTAGGAGCTTATTTGCAATCAGTACAATTACACTTTAGAGTTTGGACACTATACTTAATCATTTCCCTATTTCTAGTGCAGAAAGAGAAAGTACGAAGGAACCTGATCGGTTGACCTGGGCAACAAGGACAGCCCTTTTGTAAGATGTCTTTCATAAGGCACCAAGTATTTTCCACAGCCAGGTACACACACACTTGCTCATTGTCTTCAATGACCAGTCTAGGGGATGTTTGTTTTTGAAGTTTTATTGTAGAACTGGGACTAGGAATGGGGAATGTAGTAGGATAATCCAAAATTAGACCTAGTCACACTGAGGACATCTAGCTGATCTCTTAGTTAAGCACTACTGAAGTCCTGGCTGAAATTAGATAGCAGACTTCTCTTTAGTTTGTAGCAACAAGTAGTTTAAGAGAGAACAAAGTCCCATTTTTTGCTGAGCTCCTCAGGTACAAGCCAGTTACAACAGACTACGACAGCCCAAAAGTAACATAGATGAACAAAGTCCTATGCAGTAGCAACAGTTGGACAAGCTCTACAGAACACTAGCCAGTGTTCCCTTTCCTTTTTAGGGGTTATCAAGCACACAGAGTCCCCATATTCCTCAATGTCCATACTCACAAGGCCCAGGGACAGAATGGTAGCTTCCTTCCAATCTTCCAAGCAAAACCCTCCATTGGGACAGAGCTTTGGCAGACAGCTCCCTCAGTCAACATACTGTAGAGCCAGGGTCACTCTCTCTAAATTAAGGCCCTC